CAAGTGACATTGTACAACAACAAAAACAACTTGCATTCGTGTAGAGGGATTGAGCGAGAGAGTTACAAAGTTTTGGGGCATTGGAATAATTGAGGCAAGGAGGAAACAAAGACGTGGACCAGGGTTTCGGCTGAGTTACGGTTGGAAGCAGGCAATGTGACTGAGGTGGAGGAATGTGGTCCTTTCATTAAATGTTTTAACTATCACAAACTCCTTTTGCAGTGTTCTCTGCCACTACAATGGAAAGCCTTTTTTTAATCCATCAGTACAGGTGGTTGAAAGCACATATTACTGTATTAGCTCATTGCAAATGTCTAACTGGCTCATTTGGGTTCCAGAGCAATTTGTCCAACTCTTTTTTGAGCTTTTGGAAACACCACGATCAATTTCATGATATCGATTACTGTTACATTAACCTTTGGCTTCAGCCTAACATGATGTAGAAAGCCCTCTGGGACGCTACCTTGCTTGAAGGGTGTCATATAAATGCAAGTAGTTGTTGAGATAGATGTTAATAGTATAGATGTTCCAGAATTAAACCACTGCGGCAATGTTCTAAATATTCTGGTCTTAGTAACATGGAGCTTGGGAATAATTTTATTATCTGACATCATTACAAAGTAGCTACGATTACAAAAATGGCATTGGATTAAGGATATCAATATCAAAGAAGGCAAATGCTGCCAGCACGAAAGAGATGAAAACTCCTCTATAAATATACTGTAGTGTTTCTTCCCCTTAGCAGTATTCACCAGGGGTAAAAACTTACAGTCAACCTGTTTTCAGCAACCAACTCAGGGGACTGGACCAAAGTAGCCTTTATATAAGGTCAGTCTCTGAGTAAGGATTCATTGGTGTGTGTAGAATGTTAAGTGCATAAGTGTATAGAGAAATACAGTGCCTATACCACCCCATAAATCAAACTACTTTTAATAAAGTTATAAATCAATTACAAAACAACATTTTTTTACTGTTTCCGCAGGCCAAAAATTAGACTCCTGTTAGACTCCTAGTGCATACCAACACCTAAGCAGTCTAAGTGTCTGTGTTGGCTCTTTTAAAAGACCTATCCAAATCAACCCCACTCCCCCCGCTCTCCCCATAGCTTTGCAAACTTGTCCTCCCCCAGCTCACACGGGCATACAGAGTTTGGTGCAAATTAAGGTTAAGGCATGGACAGCTGGATTTTGACTGACCAGGATTTTGTGGATGGTGGAACTAGGAGACCAGCGAGGAGTGAATTTAAAAAGTTGTCAGGAGGTAAATGCATGAATGATTGTGGTGGAGACGAGAGGAGCATCGTTTCCTAAATGTTCTAAACACTCTCCTCAGGCAAAACCTTTTCTTCTATTCTCCACAATCCCACCTTTCCTGTCAATCCTCTTCCTGGGAGAAGGAACGTCCTCTGAACCTCCTCCTTTTATTTCCCTCGTCCAATCTCGCATCGATGCTCTCTCTCTTATCCTTAAACCACTCAAAATAAAATTGGTCACTCACTCCACGGCTGCTTGTGTGCACGGCTGCTGAGTTTGCCCACAAAATGCACACGTTAACACCACTTTACAGTATATCCTATGAAGTGCTTTGAGGCGTCTCAAAGACTTGAAAGGATGGTATATCAAATGCAAGGATTATTATTATTATTATATCAAATGCAAGGATTATTACCTAAAGAATCCTGTTTTGGTTGCTGTTGCAGATATAAATGTGCTCAGACTGCCATCCAGTGGCAGTCATGGAACTGACACGTTTACATTACAGCTCAGTGGTTAGAGCACTCGCTTTGCAAGTGAGACCTGAGTTCAATTCCAGGCAGAGGGCGAAACCTTGGGCAAGTTTCCTTACTCCACACAGAGCCTAATAATAATCCCTCCAAAACCAAAAACAATAATAAATTGGTCATTTTCAATCTATGACTGTCTGTGGGACATTGCTGTGCGCAATTGGCTGCCGCGTTCGCCCACAAATATACAGTCAATTCACTTTACAGCATATTCTGTGAAGAGCTTTGAGACGTCGAGAAGACATGAAAAGTGCTATAAGGATTATTATATTATTATTATTTTAACGTTGGTAAATTTGTTCTCTGCAGGTCTTTTGAGGCTGAACAGAGGGCCGACCGATCTGTCAGATCTCCGCTAACCCACACTTGGCAGACCTCAAATGACCAACTAGTGACTCTCTACTGGAGGAAGGGTGTGTGTGGTATAGATGGGTTCTCCTTTGAGCTTGTAGCGGTCTCAGGAGTCCAGTTCCTGAGCCAGACGGGTCAGCAGTATTCCAGGGCACTGATGCTGATAGCACAGCCAGTCTGGACTTTTGACAGGACTTGGAAGGGCAGACCAGTCAGTCATTGGGGACGAGGACTCTTCTCACTCAGCTCCCTTTAACCCCGCAATAGTAGAATTACGTTTCATCCAGTTCCTGTACACCAGTTGGCTCTAGCTAGAGCCCAGTGAAATTATTTTTACTTTTAATATTTTTTTTGCTCAACTTTTTTTTAAGAATTTCTTGTGATTTCATCCATTAAAATTTTTGTTTTTATTTTGTTTTTTCACATTTGCAGTGGCCGTTTGAGGCATTTTAAACTCTGAAGTACTGATTGACTTTTAAAGATTTTTGCACAGATCCCAGTAATTTTCAACTTCCTTGTGTCCATTTTTAACTTTTGTTGTTGTTTTATTTCATTTTTTTTTTTTCCATTGCTTTTAGTTTTATTTCGGGTCATTTTGCATTTGCAAAAGAAGCTATAGCCTAGGTTATTTATCTTTGTAATAGAAACCATTCAGGGACAGGAACTACTGTAACAATCAGTCGCATTTGCAAAATTCCTTCAGAAAAAACATTGAAAGGCTGTTAGCGTTAATGTGCACACAACCGAAATTCAAATTATGAGTCAGTGTTGTTTGTATTTCCTTTACAACAAATAGAAATTTATGTTCAACGTGGAGCATTTTTTTTAAAAGACCTGTTACTAATTAGATTGATCTAATGCCTTTGTACTTGACAATTCCCAGGCTAGTAGTCATAGCACAGCAGTATTATATTCGAATAGCATTCTGGAGCATTACTGAACATAGATGAGTCTACTCCCTTCTCCACCCAACACAGATGAGATAATCTTTGTACACAACCTGTGCCTCCAACAGGTTTCACTGCTCGTATTCCCTTGCAGAGTCGAACTTTCAGCTTGAAAAACAGAAGGAAGGGTGTTAAGCTGACGCACATAATTATCTCGCGTACAAACAATTTGAAACGCATAGGAATATTGCACACAAAGAATACTTCAAACTATTTAAAATATCTTTACGGAACATTCAGATATGCCATCAATAATTTCCAATTTCTTTTCATTTCCAATCTCATACGTCACCCACAAAATATAGTCAATTTGCTTTGAGATGTCTCGAAGACGTGATGAGGCGCGATATCAAAATCGTCTTGAACCCAGTTGTCTGTTCACCAATTGAAATCATTGCATGCTCAATAAATTCTTCTTCCCAGACACACAGAAAGGTTCTGCACAGGAACCCCTTGTGCCAATACCATTTCTATCTTTTTTTCTCACCCAGCCCTTTTTTTTATTTCAGGTCCTTTCACTAAAGTACTTCCCGTTGACTCAGGAAAAAGGTATTTACCTGCCCTTGAAAGTTTGAAATCTTTTAACGATTCATTTAATCTTTATTAAAGTTTATTAGAAATTATCAGGTGCAGTATTCCAGGATTATTACCTGAAATATTCGATCTGAAAGTAAGAAAGTAGGTATTCAAAATTTATAGGGTTGAGTTAAAAAAATACAAACAAGGAAACAACTCCACATTTGTAAGTTTGTAGCTTTCAGTGTTCACAATGAAGGATATCTGTCAAAGGATAATGACTAAGTCACATCGGGAACAAATGTGCAAATACTTTGTAAAGTAGTTAATAATCTTATATTGAAGCAATATATCGTTTTCATTAGAATTGACACCAGGCATTTCAGATCATAATTCTGGAATACTGGACCGGATTTATAATGAATGCTAATAAAGATTAAATGAATTAAATGCATCAAACTGTGGATAATAGTCGCACTAAAATCCTAGTTGCGTTTGAATAGTGGAGAGCCTCTAATCTTTGCTCTCCAGATTGCTATGAAACCCTTCTTTCCAAAAGAAAATCAGAAATAAATAACTTCATATTGCAACTGGGGAAAAGTAGCAAAATACAAAAAAANGTGTCGTGCTCAACAGATTAAGGTTCTAGAATAGGAAGTGATTACAAGATACTTTAGTCTCAGAAAAGCTACATGACACCGTTCTTTGGGCTGAAACAAGGTCAAGTGAACACAACAAACCGGTTACACTGCCTCTTAAGGTTTTTTTTTTACAAACCAGTGAAGTAAACAGGACAGGCCCGTTAGATCCTAACTTGTATTTATCGTCAGCATTTTCAGATGCTTATTGAACAAATCGGGAGAGGTGATAAGAGGGAACAAAATACATTTAGTTCAATATGATTTAACCTGTGGGTTTTGCTTTAGTGATACCATTCACCACAACAAATTGCTCATCCCACCACCAGTACGTACTTCATCCCATTGTTATAGTTCAAAAACTCTCTTCAGATAGAATAAAGTCCAACATTATTACACTTGTCTGTGGTTCATAAGTTAAGGAGGGCCGTATTGGTGAGATACTGAGTGGCAGTCAGTGCCCGTGAAATCCGACTCTGAACAAATAGAACATGAGACACTGGTTAGGACATAGGTGGAAGGACAGAAAAATTAAACCACTTTTGTTAGGACTTTTAGGAAGAAAGTCATGAAGAACAATTTCAGAGCTGACTTAGTGGTGGCACAAATCAGTTATTGGTATATATGAACTGCTTTGCCCTTTAACAGATCCATTCAGTCTGTAATGTCCCTCAAAGATTTCCCTTTGAACTATCCTCTTAATCAAACGTAAAATTGCTTCTTTAATCAGGACTACCCAAGGTAGCAAAATGAGACGTCACAGCATTAATTCAGAAACTTTATTAAAACATACACGAGATATGAAAAACAAAATTTCTACAATACTGCAACAATTTATGATTAGTTGTGCTTCTTTTGCATTGCTTCACACTAACATTAAATCAAAACCAGTGGAAGCCACTTAAGCCAGACTCTGGTTAACCTTGGGCACTAGTTAATTCGGACAAAATGCCCACCCCCTATGTATGCGCCTTAAGCGGCTTACCTTGTAAAAACATGATCAAAATAGTCAAGAATACATCGGTAAATGTTTCTTGCGTCATTCATCCTTTATGATTCGGACTGCTACATAATTTTGCAAAATAATAAAGCTGATATTTTGGCCAAATAATTTAAGACAACTGACCAATTGTGTTGATCTAGTACCTTGATAATCCCACACCAAGCTTATGAATGCAGGTTCTTATCGATAATCACTTAAAAAAAAAATCATGCTTTCAGGTAGACTGATAAATGGCTTCTGGAGCAACTACCTATTAGGTATATAGTACCACGCACACCGATCAGAGTTACCAATAACTTTAAAAAAAGGTATCAACAAAGCCTCCTGATCCACCACTTGTGGCTGTACACAAAGTAACGTTGAAAAATACACTACATTTGAAGGTACCTTATTAAACATAGCAACATAAAATATGACACTCCCGAAAGCCAATATAAAAATGTTTGTGGTTTACATATTTGAGTAGATAGATCCAGGTCTATGATTGCAGAATAAAAATGGTAGGCATTTTAAGATGGAGACATTTTGCTAAGGCAACAGGCAGGCATTTTTGAAATTCCACTCCAGTATTGGCTAAAGTGCCATTTAACAAGACATTTTAAAGGCTATTAAGAACAATTATGATACAAAACCCAGAAATATCATGACCTTCAAAGGGAGTCAATTTTGATCAGAACTAAAAAAAAAGTACCGGTTTAAAAGATCAATAGCCTAATTACAGAAAACAGGCAAACATGCCACCCAACCTATTCCTTTCCAGTACTCAAGCTATGTAAAAGTATTTGCCATTTATACAATTTTGTTAAACTGGCAGATAACAAACAACAACCAAATGTCTAGTTCTAAGTCACCCGTTTCCCTGTAACATAAAAAAGGAAAATTTGAAATTCAAAGGAGACAAAACGCAAATGTCTTTCAATTCAAAGAGCGGAAAAAAAACCTTTGCCAGCAATTAGCAAGCTTTTGTTTTTGATTTCTGACTACTCTAGTCTTGACAGCTATTGTAAACCAAAAGCATCTTTGTTGAGCCACAGATATAATGCAGTAAAGAGACCCAGTTTAGAGGTAATTTTGATGCGGCCCACATAACCACATAAAAAATCTTCCAGCAAAGACAGTTTCCAGCAAAGATCAGTAACAAATTGATTTGTTTTAGCTGTAATATTTATAGATGTAGGCCAAGTATTCGTGTTTTCAATGGCACTCTTTCGTAAGCACAAGATGAAAAAGATTTTTACAAACTGGAATGCATATAATAAGATTGACAATTATTATCTTTTATAAAGCTGCAAGTAATGCACTTAGAAAATATAGTCCTTTGTAATCTTAAGTGATGGCATGGCATCATGTACATTTTGGTCCAACCGCTGATATTCAACTGTCCTCGAGCAAAGACCATCCTTCCATCGTCTGCTTTGGACTAGGAGAATGTAAATCTGAAAGTAATTAAAAAAGCACTATTATCCAAGGTCGGTAGCATTTTGCTTGCATAGCATTGTGCAAGGGGAAGGGATAACATATACAATTCATATATAAACACCTTTTGTTTTAAGAAACTTTCACATTAAGTTCTTTTGAATTTGTGAGATTTGTTGGAATTTCTGAGTTGGTTGCCGCACACTGTCACTTAAAACTCAGAATGTAGTGCAGAAACGAGTGGGAGTAAAAGGAGTTTGGTCAAAATAGTCAAATAATTTGAAAAATGCAATGCTAAATAACAAAAATATTTCAAGAGTTTATATCACCACCATACAAGCGGTGGCATAAATAGCAATATCTCAAAACGAAATAGAAATTATTTTAACCAATATCGCTCATCAGTGAACAAACCCACCTTTCTTTTGTTGTGGTAGGTGATATAAATGATCGCAACCAGAAAGGCAGCTACAACCAGATAAAAAAAGAAATGACTGTCGTCTTCTTCTGGTGCAGAAATGTATATTGGTGTATCGGGCAGCTCCAGTGAATCCTCTATATCGCTGGTGTCCAGGTCATCCTCGTCATCCTCATCCATCTGGTTTTGATCATAATAATCCACTGGATTACTATCATCCATTCCTTTGTCCAGGTTAGAATCATAGTAAGCCTCGGATTCATCATCCAAACTCACAGGAATCAACTCTTCAGTCATTTCATCTATCTTTGTTGGATCATCATTGGGTGTTACGGGAAGTTCTTCTTCATCGGCATTACCTGCATCGATCATAGACACAGTTGTACTTTCTCTCTCTACTGCAGTGCTTCCTTTCACAGTTGATGCCTTGTCAGCATCTTTTTCTAATGTCATAGGTGTTTCGTTAGCTTTATGATCAACACTCTGCATAGTATTCTTGTTTTTGGTGTTGAGATTCAGTGCTGTAGAAGGCCGTGGAGTGGGTTTAATATTAATGGTAGTAATGACAGTACTGTCAATTACGTGACTTGAAGATGAATTGATTTGCTCGAAAGTATCATTAGTGAGAAGATCGACTGTAGTATTATCTTTCGCATTGTTCGACGTGTGACTTGAAGAAGTCAGGTTCACAACAGTTTCTGTTGAAAAAAGAACAAATAGCAATACAATCAATCATATGAAACACTAATCATCAAATAACACAAAACTTTCACCACTTTAAATGGTTATTTAAAACCATGTCCACTGCTGTGAATGAACTGATTTAACATCAGTTCAAAACCTATGGTATGAATGCGAGTTTGTCAATGCACAACAACAACAAAATTACATTTATAGAGCGCCTTTCACATCAGGAGGACGTCCCAGGGCGCTGAACAGTCAGGTATCGGGGTCCGAGCATGGGGGAGGGGTGGTTTAGGAGTGAGGGAAGGCAGAGAGGTGGAGGGTGACCAAAGGTACGATCGAAGAGAAGGGTCAAGACTGGCCTTGAAGGAGGCAAAGGAGGAAGCGAGGCGCAAGGACCGTAGGATGGAGTTCCAGAGTAGTAATATAATACTACAGAATGTAGTAATAATAATAATTCTTGCATTGATTATAACCCCTTTCAAGTTAGAATTACTGTGAAGTGAAGCAACTGTATTTTGTAGAAGAACGTGGTAACCAAATTGGGAACAGCAATATCCAACAGACATGAAGTGAATTACAGTAAAACTCACATAAGTCGCATTAGTTGGGACCAAACATTTAATATGATTATGAAAAGTAAGTCAAACTTGCACAAGTCATATAATAGTGCAGTAACTCATGTGCAGAAAACATGTACCTTACAATGAATAATAATAATCCTTGCATTTGATACAGCACTTTTCACTTCTTCTCGACATCTCAAAGCGCTTCACAGAATAGACTTAGTGAGTTGACCATATATTTGTGGGCGAATAGCACAGCCAAACAGGTTTCAAGAGAAGAACTGTTTTTATTAAACTATAAATTCTTACAAAAAACAGTTTGAACTAGAGGTAAGAATGCTGAGCCAGTTGAGAAAGGAAGGTTCAGAAAACTTCCTTGGCAACTCCCAAACCAAACCCTGTGACAGATCTTTCAATATCTTTTTAATATATTATAATATATAGAATAATAATCAAATGCAAGGATTACTATTATTATTAATAATAATAACATTAAAAACAAGGGTATTCGCAGTGGGTTTATTTTTAATATAAATTGTTCTTTTTAAGATGTTATTTTGCGAAGGAAAAAGGACAGGAGCTGAAAATATAATGAATGTTCCAATGTCACTGAGCATTGGGGTTTGGTTTCTTGAAACTAAAACACAGTTACAGAAAACCTTCCTTGATTTAAATCAATATACAATGTGATTCAATTTCAAATTATGTAGGTTTAATAAGGCCTCAATTCACAATAGTTGCATGAAGCACACTGCTAGCTTTTCTATTTACTACCTCAGTATTCACAGCATACTGAACTGGCTGTTCATTCACTAATAAATAAAGGTTTCTGGTGCCTCAAGAGCTCTACAGGACTTTTCCAAAAGCAGAAAAAAATCCAGCAAAATTGAGCCATTCTGCTGGAGCTGAATAAGCTCATTCATGTATTGGTAACAAGCCAGTGTTTACTTTAAACTTTCTGAAGAAAATCCTTGTTTATGCAGCACCCACTCACTTGATCCAGACAACTTGAAAGTATCCAAACCTTTCTTAGCAGAAAAGCCTCGCTTAATAGCAAATGTCAATTAATATATTCAACGATTGTGTTCATTTAATGTAACCAAATAAATAGATTAAAAAGCTGTTTAAAAGCTGTAAACCTTTACACTGCAATGTCCCACAAACACCCATGAAGTGGGAGACCAATGATCAAACCTACATTGATATACTGCCATACACATTTGTGAGATTGGGGCAGAATGGCTTAAAGCACACCCGACTGATGGTTGACAGGTCAGGTCAGTTGACTTGAAGCAGGGCACTGTTAGCTGAATGGCCGAGGTGGCAGGGTTGCGAGAGTCACAGAGATAGGGAGTGGCGGGCCATGGAGAGATTTGAACATGTGGACAATGATTTTGAATTTGATTCCCTGGGGGACGGAGAGCTGGTGGAGACGAGCAGAAATGGTGGCAGTAGACTGATGAAGGAGAACGTGGGCTGCGGAGTTCTGAAAGGCCTGAAGATTTGCAGAGAAGGAGCCGGGGAAGCTACTGAACGGGGATTTGGAATAATCGAGTCTGGAAGTGATGAAGAGTGTGAGTGAGGATTTCTGCAGCCAAGGGGAGAGAGAGGTAGTAGCGGAAGTGGCAACGTTACAGAGGCGAAGGAAAACAGCACAATAATTTACTGCGGATCCATACTGGAGAACAATGGATATCACAAAGGATTTAGCAGCCAAAGGCACAAAATGACCTACGGTACTAAATCACAAAGGATTCGACAGCTAGAAGCACAAACTGACCTACAGCACTTTGATGCATGTTCCATTTCCAATTGCAATGGATGTCGCAACTGTTTATGTGCAACAAAACAGCATAAGAAGCCAATCGCAAGAATCTGTTTTTTGGTTGCAGCTTAAAAGTACTCCCAACAAAGTTTTCTCCTGAGAAGCAAAATACTAGTTTGCGCTTTGATTATTACACATCGGCCTCACTCCAGCTTTGTTCAATGCATGCGACTTGGTGCACCTTATGGGTCAAATGAAGCAAGAGCAATTGCAGCAATTCATCTTTCTGTCTAACATAATATAATCACACTCTGCAAACGTTGCACATTGTTTTGTAGCTCAGTGGTTATAGTACTCGCAAGGGAGAGGACCTGGGTTTGATTCCCGGCAGGGCATAAAGGTTGGGCAAGTTTCCTTACTCCACACGCCTCTGTTTACCTAGCAGTAAGTAGGTTCATTGCTTATGTCACCAAGGGAGAAGGAGGAGACTGAAGATAAGAGCCCTAAGGTACATAGCAGTTGACTGTGCGAGAGCAAGAAGCCATTTAAGGAAACAGTGGGTCACATAGGACCGGAACCAGGAGATTCCAGTCCCGTGAGACAGAGAAGTGATCAAGGAGGAAAGAGTGGTCTATTCTGTTTAAAGCAGTAGAAAAGTCAAGGAAGACGGGAGTCACAGGGAGCCCTCGTCACAGAGAGACAAGACAAGAGGGGTTTGAGCAAGGACATGAAGGGAGTGCTCTGAGCGAACTTGGGTAGCAGCAACACTTTGCAGGACTTTAGAAAGGCCAGGTCAGAGATGGGCGAGGAGCTCTCCCTCTCTCCCTGCAAAGGCTTCCCGTGTTTGCCACAAATCCACCTCACAGCTTGATCCTGGACTTTGCAAATGGGTCGGAGGAAGCCTCAACAACAACAAGATTCCATTTATAGAGCGCCTTTCACGTCAGGAGGACGTCCCAAGGCGCTGCACAGTTGGGTCATGACCCGAGCAGGGGGGAAATGGTCAGGGTGAGGGGAGGGAAGGGGGGGAGCGAGGAGCGGGGAAATGGTCAGGGTGAGGGGAGGGAAGGGAGGGAGCGAGGAGGGGGAAGGGAGTCGAGAGGGGAGCTGAAGGCTCGGTCAAAGCCTCAGATAACAAAAGATACGCTTGGAGGCTGTGACCACCTATTGATAGAAATCTGGTACGTTCAGCATCTTATTACAGCCGTTAGAGTCCAGTTTGGAACTTATTCCCACGGAATACTTTCAAATCCTTATTTTTAGAGTCACGGACGACATTTTATTCCGTTTTCGACCTTTAGTTCCCGGGGGGTGGGGTGGAAATGGGACAGTAGCCTGTGGGGTGGAGAAGACTCTTATGGAATTGATTGTGACATAGTGTTGTCCAACGCTAGGAAGTGTACTGATCGCCAGCATCCCGGTTCCACGCTGGCAAAATTATTATATTTATTTTTCTTGTCGAACCTCAGTTCTTTGAAATACGAAACCGCCCCTCCCTTGAGAAACATTCCAAACACCATCCATCCACCCGAGGGATCCGACTCGCAGGGCATTTCATGCAAAAAGGAGTCAGCACAGCGCTGACCTTCCTGATTGATTGATTGATTGATTGATTGACTGATACCCCCTCTTTCTTATTCTCCAACAACCAGCAAACTACATCCCCCCCCACACACCCACCCCCCCCAAACAGTGCTCCCACCCCCACACTGCCCCACTCCTCCCAAACTGCCCCCACAATACCCCCCACACTGCCCCACTCCTCCCAAACTGCCCCCACAATACCCCCCACACTGCCCCACTCCTCCCAAACTGCCCCCACAATACCCCCCAAACTGCCCCCACAATACCCCCCAAACTGCCCCCACAATACCCCCCAAACAGTGCCCCACAATACCCCCCAAACTGCCCCCACAATACCCCCCAAACAGTGCCCCACAATACCTCCCAAACTGCCCCCACAATACCCCCCAAACAGTGCCCCACAATACCCCCCAAACAGTGCCCCACAATACCCCCCAAACAGTGCCCCACAATACCCCCCAAACAGTGCCCCACAATACCCCCCAAACAGTGCCCCACTCCCCCATATTCCCCCTCACACCCCCCACTCCATTCCCCTCAACTACAGCCCTCCCCCCCTCCCCCCCTCACACACGCGCAGAGCTGCGGGGACAGAGCAGACCCGGTGTCCGGCCCCCGCCCCCCTCCCGCCGCCCCGCCCCGCGCGCAGCCGCCGGTACTCACCGTTCGAGGCCCGACAGGCGACCACCGCGACGACGACAGTGAAGCAGAAGCCGCTCCAGGGCCCGACCTCCATCTTCACACCGCGCGAGCTCTGCACTGACGTCACCCGCGTCACGGCTGTTCCTCCTCCTCCTCCTCCCCGCAGCCTTCGGCTGTTCCTCCTCCTCCTCCTCCCGCCTTCGGCTGTTCCTCCTCCTCCCACCTTCGGCTGTTCCTCTTCCCTCCCCCTGGCTGTTCCTCCTCCCGCTGTTCCTTTTCCCTCCCTCCCTCCCTCTGGCTGTTCCTTCTCCCTCCCTCTGGCTGTTCCTCCTCCTCCACCCGCCCCCTCCAGCTGTTCCTTGTCCCTCCCGCCCCCTCCAGCTGTTCCTTGTCCCTCCCGCCCCCTCCAGCTGTTCCTTGTCCCTCCCGCCCCCTCCAGCTGTTCCTCCTCCCTCCTCCCTCCCTCCCCTTATTAAATATGACACATTTCCATATAATCCAGTGTTTCCCAGACTTTATGTTTACAATCCCCCGGAATCGTTTCTCACGGACAGTGTTTGACTCCCGGGCAGGACGTTACCCCCACACCCCTCGGTTTCCCCGGCAGTCAGCGGGGGGGGAGGGGGGGGGGGGACACCCGCTTGTTAAGTCGATTGGCGAGTAATATTTCCGGGGGATAATAATCCCGTCAAAAAATAATAATAATAATAATTTGGTCGCTTCAAACCGCGGCTGTTTGTGTGGGGGGGGGGAACGCCGCTGTGCGCAATCGGCCGCCGCGCTTCGCCCACAAAATACACAGTCCATTTACTTTACAGTATATTCTGTGCGCAATTGGCTGCCGCGTTCGCCCACAAATATACAGTCAGTTCACTTTACAGTGTGTTCTGTGAAGCGCTTTGGGACGTCCTCCCGACGTGAAAAGCGCTATATCAAATGCAAGGATTATTATTATTATTATTATTCTGTGAAGCGCTTTGAGACGTCTCAAAGACGTGATGAGACGCCGTATTGTTACAATCCTTGCATTGGGATATAGATTTGGAAGACAGAGGATGTCAGTGCAAGTGGGAAGTGGATTACTTGTTTATTTACAAGTGTTGGAAAACCTCAGGGCCTTATTCGTTGGCAAGTCGTGTTGAACGGAGTTCGGGGGTTAGATTTACGGATTGATCTGTTTGGGTTTTGTTGAGCATTCTACGTCAGGACCTCTGTCGGCTTGAGTTGATATCTTGTGTTTGGACTTTTAATACATTAATAAATTTGATGCACTTAATTAGTCACACAATTTAAACATGGGATTTCTGTTCGATTCTTTTATGTTTTCTGGAAAGGAAAAACAAACGTATTGCTCGTGCGGTCCACGGACGTTTCTCACAGGTGGCATCCGGCCCTCGACGCCCAAAAGACTGGACCGCCCTGGTCTAGATGGTAGGAATCTAAGAGGAGTGGAGGAGCAAAGAGATCTGGGGATTTAGATCCACAAATCTCGCTAAGAGTAGCGATACAAGTAGATAAGGCTATAAAAGGCCAATGTGGTCTTAGGCTTTAAATCCGGAAGGATAGAATATAAAATGTTGTTGTTGAATTTATACAAAACGTTGGTTAGACCACATTGTGTCCAATTCTGATCTCTAACTCTAGAGTACGGTGGACGTTTACAAGGGTGATACCAGGGCTGGCAGGTTACTGTAAGGATAGACTGCATAGGTTAGGTCTTTTACTTAAAACAAACTAAAGAGATGTTCAAGGGTGACCTGATAGAAGTGTTTAAAATTACCAAAAGGTTTCAATAAGGTGAAGATAAATAGGCTATTTCTACTGGTTGGAGAATCTATAACCAGAGTACGCAAATATAAGTTAGCAACTAGGGGATCGAAGAGAAGTTAAGAGGCACTACTTTGTGAAGATTGTGGAACTCACTGCCTGAAGCAGTAATTGTGTAAATGCATTGGAGGAAGCTGGACCTTCATGAGCGAGAAGGAACTAGGAGTGTACGGGAGGGAGTAAGGAATGGGTGAAGACTCGTGCGGAGTATGAATACCAGTAGACTGGTTGGGCAGTGACTTGTTTCCATGCTGTACATTCTTTATAGATATTTGTCAGTTTTTAAAAATTAGTTATTTTCGGCAGATTTTTTCAGTGTGAAACTGAAAATGAGTAGAACACTCCACAAATTGTTTTTAAGAGATTGAGAAGGTAAAGTAACTAATCCTTTACTCTAGATAAGAAAAACTTGGGATAGGATTGAATATGTGCGTTTTGGACTGACTCCCAGGATTTAACCAAAGCAAGTTTTTTTTTAATTACTGAAGTTCTTTGAAGCCAAATAAAGGTTCACAAATAGAGCCGTCAACTACAGATATGTTTTCCAATACGTTTTCCATCAAATCTGTTTTCTTAGATATTGTGTCACCTACTCTAAAATTATTGTGACAACAACTTGCATTTACATAGCACCCGTCACACAGGGCATCGTCCCAGAATACCCGACAGTGGCGGAGAACAAAGCCGAGCCTGGGGGAGGCGACTGTTGGCACGGCCGAATAGGAAGGTCTTCAGACGCGACCTGAAGATGGGGAAGGAAAGGGCAAGGTGGAGGGAAAGAGGAAGAGTGTTCCAGAGTTTCGGGCCATAGTGGCTAAAAGCGCGGCCACCAACGGTGGAACGGAGGGCGCAAGAGACATGCAGAAGGCCAGAGCCAGTCGAGCGAAGGCAGCGGGTTCTGCGTTGGGGGTAAGCAGGTCAGAGAGGTAAGGAGGTGCCAGGGCGTGTAGGGATTTGAAAACGAGTGTGCGGATCTTGAAGTTGATCCGTTCGGCGACAGGAGCCGGTAGAGCCTGGCTAGAACTGGTGTGATGAAAGTATTGTAAACTTGAATAAGACCACACACACAAGATAAAGTTAAAGTAGTCTCTATTCAGGGTTCTTAAACAGTCAAGTAGATTGCATGATTTCCCTTAACTGCAGGCCCAAAAACCTGGAAGACAATATTTATTTTAAGCTAAGAACTGCACAACAGGGAACATTTAAGAAAAATGGTACACTAACTTTCTTTTGTTTTATTTTCCATTTTACTTCCTATTAAATCCAACCATCACAGATACTAGCGTGAAACATACAGATCCCTCCATATGGCTATCGCATTTAGCTTTTCAGATGGTGCAGGGAACAGGGACCACAAATTCACAAATAGTAATGGAGTGTGTAGGTTTCTCTCACGCCACATACAACCAGTCTTCACCAGAAATAAACAAGACATGTACAGGTGAATTTCAAGGGTCTAAGAAGTACAATAAATAGCCATAATGACTTTTTTTTAAGATAAAAGGGACAATATCTGGAGAACACAATCAATTGTACAATAGTGTTTGGACACACGGCTGAACAGAAAAGTGAACACTGGATTTTGCAGGTAGCTACACTGGAAAATATTTGGGAGCTGCTGATTGTCGGGTTTCTCCACCCACAAATTAGGCTTCGAATTCCAATCCCAGACCGAGTTTATGACCGCCAGCATTAATATTCTTGCCATCCAGCAGTGATGACAGAGTTAATTTAATACCTGGGAAGAAAGAATGAAAGTAGCATATTACTGATTGCATACATCTTTGATACTCAAATTCCACCGCCCACAGACTATTTAGTTGATACTATTTAAGTGGGTCTGCATTCAAAAAAAGGTCATTAGAAGCCCCTTTAGTAGAAGAAAAATCGAGAGATAAAATGACATTTCAGAAAACAAACCCACAGAAGTGCTTTCAATTTATGGAACAGGCTCCCTGGGGAGACCGTGGAAGCAGAAAATGTCATTTGTTTCGAGAACAAATTAATAGATTTCTTAGAAAATAATATCTCGGGATACAGTATAGTTTGGGACATGACATGTCAAAGCGACTGCTAAAATGTTGGAAGGCAAACTAAATGGAACTTGGTCTTATTTTGCCAGCAAGTTCTTATGTTCTTAATTAACAAAATCTGCAGGCTTATTTTTCATAATCAATATATTCTGGTGTGAAATGAACCAGTTACTTTTTTTCCATGATACATTATGCTTGCTGAGAATCAAACTCGACTTACCTGGTTTCAGCACCTGAGTGTAGCCAAGCCCAATCAGACTTGAATTGTTCACTTTAACCTGATGAATGAAAGCAATAATCTCTTTAAAAAATGTACCAAAATGTCCAATTGCGTATTTTAGAACATTAACTTAAACGTGCGTCATCTTTTACAGACAGTCTTATAATGGGGTCATTGGGACCTCAAAATGAGACCACGTATCATTACTCGACAAATGAAAGTATGATCACTCGTCATCAATTCTGGGGTGTTGGGGTTGCTGCTGACAGTACAGAGCACCTGCCACTGTGTGCAGCAAGTTGGCCAGTGAGCAACAACTCCTCCCTCAAGCACTGTGAGCAGTTGTTGGGATCTCAGGGATGTGTATAATTCCTTCAAAAAAATAATAATTTGCTCACTCAATCCACGACTGTTTGTGGGATGCTGCTGTGTTCAACTAACTGCCATGTTTGGCCAACAAAATATACAATCAATTCACTTTATATTTTGTGAAGTGCTTCGAGACGTCTCGAAGACATGATAAGGCGCTATATCAAATGCAAGAATTATTATTATCTATTGTGCTGCTGTTTTATAACGAAATGCAATATGCTATTACAAGGGTATACTGGAATTATTTCTATGAGGGATTGGTAATAGATTAAAGGGGGAGGAATTAAAGCAAACATGTACTCACTGAGAAAGATGCATCGTCATCAATCTGGTATTTGGCTGCAATACCAAACCGAGTGTTGCTATTCCCAGCTGTCCAAGCTAAATTGACAGCAGTTTCAAGATTATCACTGACTTTCTGATAAACAGAACCTCCAAACTCTGTACCATCATTCCTGCAGTGGAGAAACATACACATCATGAAGAAGACATTAAAAATGTCATAATTTCAAACAACTACAACCACTATACAAGGAGAGGGGATTCATGATTAATCCAATCCATATTTAAATTATACATGTCGCAATTAATGTTTTCCTCTTTAGGTTTGCCTCATTCTACAGACTTCCCTTTCACCATTTGGTGAAAGACATTGATTTATCACAAATATTTAATGCGCATGTCTGATGAATCTAGAATCTGTTTCCCTAGTATTTACCCGACAGAATTTCTTTTCAAATCTAGCAATGCGCCTGTGGGATACGTACACGTTTGTGTGGAGCTGGAACTCATCAGTCTTGTAACCAACAGCAAAGTTACTCTGAGAGACCCTGGATTTTGAAACTTCGTATGTCATTTGATATCCTGCTAGCCACCCATCATAACCAAACACCATAGCTCCACGGATGGCAGTCCCAGTGATATCGAAGTCCATGTCACACCCCATGTTGACGTGTTCCCTTTTGTAGGCAGTTTTGATTTTCCCATTTTTCTTTCTGCGTTACGAAAATAATGAAACAGTAAAACGACAAAATTACAGATCAGTTCAGTTCGCAAAGTGTCACCACCTTATTATTTTAAGTTTAAATGACATAAGTTTGCTTAATAATTTAGCTGTTATTCAATGAGTAGCTGAGCCATATATGCTGGGAAAGTCTATGCTGAGTTAGCTTATCTCAGCAGGGGAAGCAGCAGAATTATTGCTTAGGTGGCGAGTTCCAATTTCAGTCATTGTGAGGAGATCCACAGCAGCTATTCCTGACTAGAAGAGAAAAATTAAAGAGTTACTTTTGATCATTTTGTGTGCCTCTTAGCTACTGAATGTACAGTAATATCGGGAAATCCTTGGCGCACATTGACTACTGATGAGTTTAGTCAGGGATAATAGGGATAATACGCAATGCAATTTTATTAAAAAAATGAATCCACCAGGTCTACAAAATCAATTCCATTGATAAAATGCAAAGTTATTTCAAAGATAAGATAAAACTAATCTGCTCTTTTATCTTAGCCATTTCTAGAGCTGTTCTTACTTACCCAGTGTTAGGTGAAAACGATGAATCAAATGTTATCTTCAACCCTTTCGTAAGCTAAATAAGGGGAAAAAAAGTCTGTTCACATTAATGCTCAAAAAGGCCAAGCGATTTTACTATCTGGTATTTTGTCTCAGTTACCTGATCTTCGATAGAAACTTCAGTTCCCAAAGTATTTTCTGTGTTCCATTTCTCTGTGAATGTCAATCCATATTCTGGCCGTTTATACTTTGTTTCCAGAGTGCCGGTAACTTTGCTAGTGTCTGTGTTGGCTGAACCAGCGCTTACGAATTCCTACAACAAAGAAATACAGTTAATATGCAGCAAGCAACAGAGAAAATGGAATTTATATTTATCTGTGTGGTTCATTGGCAGGATTAACTAGCTGTCTAGATACTCAAATTAGCTTGTATTTTGCAGCTAGTGTAAAATAACAAGAATCTCTTTTTAAGCAATATCTGTAAGCTAAAGGGACCTGTAATTTCAAAGCACCGGCATAGATAATAATCCTTGCATTTTGATGTAGCGCTTTTCACGTCAGGAGGACGTCCCAAAACGCTTCACAGAACACACTGTAAAGTGAATTGACTGTATATTTGTGGGCGAACGCAGCAGCCAATTGCGCACAGCAATGTTCCACAAACAGTCGTAGATTGAAAATGACCAATTTATTATTGTTTTTGGTTTTGGAGGATTATTAGGCTGTGTGTGGAGTAAGGAAACTTGCCCAAGGTTTCGCCCTCTGCCTGGATTGAACTCAGGTCTCTCACTTGCAAAGCGAGTGCTCTAACCACTGAGCTACAGGACTCCAGGTACAGTCAAACAAGGACACAACAATAAAAAAAAGTTATTCTATCAACCAAGCACTCGATTCTACATTTTCCTAACGTGACAATATTTTCTTGCTTCACTTCATTCCTAATCATTTTTATTTGTAACGCCCTTTGAGATGTTTATTTTACTTGTAGGGCACTATATAAAGGAGAGTTGTTGTTTCACGTGCATAACAATTAGCAAAAGTATTAGTTTGATCTTGTATTTCAATAATTACAAATTTATATCTTCGATAATTCCAGTAACTAAAAATGCTAACTATTCTCTCTTTTGTTTGGATCTCATTTAGCAAGTTTCTTTCTTCAATGGAATCAAAAATATTCCTGAGAATTACAAATATTCAATTATACAAGTATTCCAGCTTGAAATGGTTTGTCAAGTCTGCAGTTATTAACAGTATGTGGTAGGCATTTAGTCATGTGGCATCTTTATTCAAATTATCAAAAGGTCTTTTCAAACACTTAGTCACAATGTGCACCCATTCAATGGATGGACAAAGAGTAAATATAGTAGAATACAAGGTGAACACCCTCAATGTACTGAATGCACAATTACGGCAAATTAATGAAGGCATTGTGTAGGTTAATGGTTATCCAGCATTAGATGTGTAAGGAAACAGAGTTGACAGAATGGAATAAAAAAAGTTATTGGTTGCATTTCTTACTCCAGTACTCACCAGTCCATTTTGTGACTTAGTTTTCAAGTCAATCTTTATTAAGCCAAATCCTATTAAAAGATTAAAGACAGATTTGTCATACTTGGTTTCACAAATGAAATGCATCTTATTTTCTAATGGTCAATATTATTTTTGTTACACGTGCACAGTTCATTTATCCCATATTAAAATTACTTTGAAACTTTCAATGGCAGAGAGGAATTTTTGCATGAAACATCCATAACCTTAATATCTCAAATTACTGTATTTTTGTAAAATAACTTTTCCATTACCTTAAAGTATATACACATCAATACTAGTTTGTAGGAATATAATTTACACTTGTTAATCCACAACAAAACTGGACGTTTTCTCGTTTCTCTCCTTTCCCCCTAAATACTCACTGCTAAATACAAACAAATCTGGTAAAGTCCCTAAAAACTTAGTAATGGCAAACGCAAAACTGTAATCAATGCAGTGCACCAACGAACACTCATCCTTCACACAGCCTTCATAAACACAAAATCAGACAAAATATAAAGTTTTTTCTCATTAATAGCTAGGTGCCTTGATGACAATTCAATAAACAGCAATCCAGAATCTGACTGTCAAACATATTCAAACCATAATTTTAGGTTTGGCAGTCTGCCTTTAAGATGCTGAGATGCTAAGCCGAAGGGCACTATATAAATCCAATTATTATGGTTGAGTCAGAAGGGTGTGGATTCAAGTTGGAATTTTGAACTCGTAGTCGAGTGTACACCAAAACATTGCTCGGGGAGCGTGGGATTGTCAGTATTGCCTTTTTTGAGACACCACACCTGCATGTTCAGGTGTGTTAAAGATTCCATCGTAATATTCGAAAAGAGAAGAATTTCTTCCAGGATCCTCGTCAACAATCCATCAGATAATAAACTGGTCATTCACTTATGGTTGTTTGAGGGATATAACTGTGCCCTAATTAGCTGCCATATTTGCCTACAAATACAGACATTACACTTTACAGAAAACTTTGTAAGTACTTTGAGATGTTTCAACATCATAAGGTCTGACATCAAATACAAGCATTATTATTTTTGATTATTTATTGAATAGTTAGTCCTTTCTTTTTCTTACCATAGCCTTTGGTGAAGACGTCTTTCGCTGATTTTCCAAGATCTGCATATGCTGGTGGAATTGCCATTATCCCTGGCTTTAAAAGAGCACAAATCGTCAGGATCATTCTAATAATCAATTAATTACAATGGCTTTAAATAAACACTGAAATTGCTAATTTTTCGACAGGCATTTGATATCGTCACTGACCACAACTATTACTCAGATGAACAGAGAGTACATTTAACTCTTTTACAAGGAAACAGTAAAAGGCAAAGGAGACACCCACAACACACAAGGTTCAAGGCTGAGGAGAACTGCAACATTTTGCAAGCTCCCAGTTCCACTCCCAGCAAGGCACTTTTTCATAAGCTGTATAATAGGCTTGTTTAAAAGAAAGTGTACAGTATGAATCGCAAAAAATCCTGAGCCAGGTGTGTCTGCAGTACTCCCACGCATTATTGATGACAGCCCAGCCAGCTTGGCTTATCGGTAGGACTTGGAGGAAACTATGCGGTTTTAGCTGACCCAACCCCAGCAACATCCCAACATACACTCGGGTAGTCTTGGCTCTTATCAGCCTGAGCCTAATACTGTCTGGAATTAGGTAAGCACGATGCTTTCCTTCAGGGAGAGTGCACATTCCATTACACAGGAATTTCATTTATAGGTGGGAGCATGGAATTCAGTTTGGTTTGGATACTCTTAAGCATGGCAGAAACCACCACCACCACCCCCCACCCACCCAAAAAAATAGAAATAAATTGGGCATTCACTTCATGGCTGTTTGTGGGACATAGCTGTGCACAAATTAGCTGCGGTGTTCGTCTACAAATATAAAGTCACTACACTTGAGAAGATGCAAACAAAACACACAGACAACTCCAAATCCTGCCATAATTGATTTGAATTGGAATTGGATAACAATCAGAAACAGTAACCATAACTGATTTCTCGTCCCATCCCATTTGTCCTAGAACCACTAAGGGCAATCACTGCATTCCTAGTGCCACCTTGGCTGAGATCAGATAATTCAATACAAACCAGCCATTTAGCCCTAGAACTTCCGGGCTTATATTCCTCCACCTTACCATCAGGTTACTCCACAGCTTACATTTTTTTTAAAGTCAGAATAACAGATAAAGTGTTCTTTTCAAATGTGCTCTCTTTAGTTCCTGGAATACAACCGTTGCTTCAGCATAGAAACATGTAGCAAAGCAAAATAAGTAATCAGCTTCTAATGCTTTTTTTTCCCCCCCCATACACGGTCATTGAACAATTAAGTTTCCTTGGCAGTTCGAAATCCCAAACTACAACAGCAACGTCAGAAGCAATAAATCTCATGAGCATGAATGACCACATACTGTACGGTTCATCTCGCTGAAATACAAGTGTAGCTCTTTGCTTGTTAGTTTTTCTTAATATTTCTCAATTAAGTTAAGCCACGTTTAAGCAGAATTACACAGAAAAATATTTTAGAATCAAACCATTTATAAAATGTTTTTTTTTTTGTCTTCATTCTAAACCTGATCCTCCATGAACACTGTTGTAAGACTACTTCCTGAAGTTTCCACAGACATTGTAGAAATCAGGCCACTCCTTCATTGGGGGTAAAGGTCCTACAATGAAACAGAAAAGCAATCCACAGCCAGTTTTTCAATTAATCTGTCAAATCAGCATGTCTAAATTGCTAAAACTTGGACTCAAGGAAATGCCCAAATCTGAATTGCGAGATTAGACAAGAACTCAGCATTCAACCCCGTCTTCCAACACACACTCTGGGATTCCTAAACTTTGGTTCTCGCCAATTTACACCTAATACTCTCTGGAATTAGGTGCATTTTGTGTCCCTACAAGTATACATTCCAGACAGGGCGAAACCTTGGGCAAGTTTCCTTACTCCACACAGAGCCTAATAATAATCCCTCCAAAACAAAACAATAATAAATTGGTCATTTTCAATCCACGACTGTTTGTGGGACATTGCTGTGCGCAATTGGCTGCCGCGTTCGCCCACAAATATGCAGTCAATTCACTTTACAGTATATTCTGTGAAGCGCTTTGGGACGTCTGGAAGACGTGAAAAGCGCTATATCAAATGCAAGGATTATTATTATTATTACAGGGTGTTACAATAATCCTTGCATTTGAATACAGCACCTCATCACGTCTTCTAGACATTTCAAAGCACTTCACAGAATATACTGTCAAGTGAATTGACTATGTTTTATGAGTGTACATTCCATCCCAGATACAGGTAAATTACCATATTATGTGGAATCCTCAATCTGATTAGAATACTCTTAAGCATGGTGATGGGTTTCCTCATGCATTAGCCAGACAGCTGACCAAAGAAAACAGACAACTTTTGGGAACAAAGCTGAAAGCAATAGCACGAAGAGACTTCTAATGGCCAGAAAAGAGTAATGCCAAGGTTGTAATCTGCACTTTGTGTTTGAACATCAGATTTCACAAGTATCCAACCACACAACTTCAAACAGATTAATTTGAGAGGAAAAATGACTGGTGAGACATTCTTCTGACGTATAAATGCAATTTGTTATTTGGCTTGATGGTCTGATTATATGTACTGGGCATTTAATTCGCTTAGAATACTGGTTTAAATCTACAGAAGATTTGGAAGCAGTGGAACATGGAACAGCACCATTCTACAATCAGTACCGTATATCATAATTATTATCCAGAGATTCTAATTAATAATTATTCATCTTTCAGCAGGTAATAACTGGTTAACTCCTTCAGGTGTTGTCAGGTTAATGGGATCCCAATAATAAAATAACAGGGATTTTTAATACCAGTTTTGAATTCATTTGTCATAAATACACATTAAGTTGAGTTTTTTTTAAAAAAGCAATTCTTTCTTGTGGATATCTGAACTACCAGTTGGGTGAAGAATCAGCAGTTGCCTTGCCGTATGATGGGGTGGAATATAATATAGTTCGGACATTAATTTTGAACAATGTTCCCCATTTCACAGAACAGAATTATGCTGCAGTCAATTCTGAGAGAATTGGATGTGTAATATGATGGAATGTCAAATTTTCTGTGAAAAAATAACTACAATGATGAAACATGGTACTGGTATGCAGTGTAAGTATCTTACACTGTTTTTATCATTAAAATTACACATGAAATAGTTCGCTCTAATTAATTAGGAATGAAAATTCAAATATGCTCTCGTCCAAAATTCTGCCCAGTGGGGATTTTATTGTCTTTGATTTTGAATCCAAAGTTTAACATTTACACAAAGCATTTATGAACCTTTAAAACATTTTGTATTGATATTCCCAGCTAACAGAATTTTAATCAGAATAAAAAACATGTCCCCTCTGGGCAAAATTTCAGATAATGGTACATTTGAATGTAGATTCCAATATGATTAATCAGTAAAATATAAAAAGTAGTCTTTCATAAGGGATTTCCTCAACTACTCCAGAATAAAACTTGTGAATTTATCTAGATGTAAGCAGTTTTTAATCAATCAACAACAACAACTTGAATTTATATAGTGTCCTTCACACAGGATAGCATTCCAGAGTCTATTATTAAAATTTTCATGGAATTGTATCTTAAAAGATTATATTTCTGACCCAACCTACAATATTACACCTTATGAAAGCTCGTAGCTGAATGTTTCCCAGAACCTGCTTTCAGACCCTGTATATTGTAGATTGCTTCAATGCAGTACTAATAACAACTGTGCACAACTTGGTGAAATCGCTTCACCTCTCGATTTTTCCAACCTGCTTACACCCCACTCCTCTACCCTCCCACTTTGCACCAGCCTCCTGCATGTCCCCTCATCCCCTCCACCTTCGGAGGGTGTGTTTTCAGCAACTATGCCCGAGACTCTGGAATTCTCTGTCTCAAACTCTCTTTGCCTTGCTCCCTCCATGCTTATCATCAGATGATATTTTTTTGATAGTGTCTATGGTATACCCTCTCTCCCTGGCTAGACACCAACCTCCAGCACTGTTAATCACTCCCAAGATGCTACCCCATAAATGCAAGTTGTTGTTGATAAGATTTGTTGTTTTTAAAATCAAGTCCCCGCGCAACATTTCAATGTTAATTCAGCAGTCGATGGAGGCATTGCGAGTTAGGAATCTGCTCACAAAAAGGGTTCATATGATGCACCTTTTTGTGCACCTCCTTGCTGATGGTTGTAGAATGATACTCTCATTGGCCTATAAGCATTGACTCCTGGCTGCACTTTTTGCTGGGAAATGGGAGAAGGAAAGGGAATCCAACCAAGGGAGAAAACTTATTAAAAATTAACAGAAGTACATGCCTAGAAAACAGGTTGCACTCGCCTTGGTGTCGATCCAATCCCCAAAGAAATCCCCCATTTACCTTTCCTCTCTGCACTGCCCCCCAACCATCCCACCCCCATAGACATATAATGTTCGCTCACTAGAACATATTATTGCTGCTGTGAAATTCATATTCTCATATTCAATAAAAATGAATTGATTGTACATTTTGTGGGCAAAACGTGGAAGGAATTATTATCCCCAGAAAAGTGATCTGTCACCTGACGAGCAGGTAACTGCTAGGTAAACAGAGGTGGGTGGAGAAAGGAAACTTGCCCAACGCTTCGCCCTGCTGGGAAACCCAGGTCGTCTCGCTTGCAAGGTGA